CATCGATTTGAGGGGGCAGGAGCCTGGCCGGCGGGGACTTCTTCTCGGGCTGCTGGGCGACCGCCGGCGTGGTGCTGGACAAGGGCACGAAGCGGGTGAGCGCGCAGGGGAAGGACTACAGCATCTGGAAGATGGGCGCGCTGGACGACTCCGAGGTGTCGGTGTTCCTCTTCGGGGACGCCCACACCCACTACTCCGGCGGCGCCGTCGGCGACGTCTTCGCGCTGTTCAACGGCAACGTCCGCATGGACAAGGGGGTACTATGCTTGCTCACATTTTTCTTTCCTATCTTGGCTGGATCAACTGATGCCTTGAGGGTGTATGCTGAATTGATTCATTGTTGGTGGACGATCTTCTTGCAGGGGCAAGGGTTCTCGGTGAGCGTTGGCTCGGTGGGGCAGATGATGAAGATGGGCGTCTCGGCGGATTTCAGCATCTGCAAAGGGACGAGGAAAGATGGGATGGCCTGCACCATGGCCACAAACAAGTATGTACTTCTTCCTGAATGATGAGATTGTCTCTGAAAAACTGTCGTTGCACACTGCCAATAATAAGATCCAGGAAGATGTAAAACTAGAAACTACCGAGTACTGTCTGTACTTGGACACTGAGGAAATCCTGCGGTCATCTCCTCTGAGATATTAACACTTGTCTGGAGTGCGATATGTGCTAAGACCGAAAAAAAAGAAATGAAGCCCATTTAGACACACCGTTGCCTCCTATGGACTGATGCTCAGACCCTGGTCAAGGTGTGAGGGTCATGGCAGCCATATCATAGATTAGTGGTGTGCACATTGTCTCTGAAAAACTGTAGTTGCACATTGCCAATAAGATCCAGGAATATGTAGAAATTAGAAACTACTGAATACTGACTCTACTTGAACACTCAGGAAATTCTGTGGTCATCTCCTCTGAGATATTAACACTTATCTGGAGTGTGATATGTGCTGAGACTGAAAAAAAAATGAAGCCCATTTTGACACTGTTGCCTCCTACGGACTAATGCTCTGACCCTGGTCAAGGTGTGAGGTTCATGGAAACCATATCATAGATTAGCGGTATGCACATTGTCTTTCTGGTTGATGACCATGATCAATTCGCGCCAATCAAGGGTTCAGCAGGTTATTTGTATGGATTTTCCGATATGATTATCTAAGACTTGAATTGTGACTTGGTAATTAGGTTTAGCCTTGAAATAACCAGATTATTCAACCTCAGTCGCATTGTTGTTGTTGTTCTTGCATGATGAGTGTTGCTTTTTTTATATGAAATTTTCAACAGTGGAAGCAAATTGTAATCGAATTCACATGGTGCTATGCTTTTTTGGAGAGCCAATTTCACAGCATTTCATTTACATTATGGCTAGGCCAAAAGAGCAGATGTGGTTTAGATAAATGCTGTTTCTGACCCTGAACATGGCCTGTTCCTTTTCAGGCGTAAGGGACCATACTGCAAATATCATTCATCGGTATGAGATATTAATAACTCCCTATTTTGCATCTGAGGCAGATAGGCATGCAATGTTGATTAATTATGTGTGTTTCCTATTGGCAGAGCACATCATCACAGAAGTACTCTACTGGCAGAGTGGAGCTTAAGGGTGGGTAAGTGAATCCCAAAAAGAACAATCATAGCTTCTCCTGTGTTCCCGAATGGTTCCTCATCCACCATTCCACATGATTCTTTACATTTTTTTTATTCTTCAGAAACTTCCAGTTTGCTTCCAAACTTCGTTCCAATGGAATTTACATGGTCAAGCCTCCCTCAGAACGATCCGATCCGAGAAATCCATCACGACCACTGAAAGTAATGTCGGTCGATGGTTTAAAAAGGGCTTTAAGGTATTTGAAGTACTTACATTTGTTCACCTTTTCAGTTTATATCCTCTGATGAACATAAACTTCTATACCGTGAACAAAATGATGGCGTGGACTGTGAAATAAGCAAATAATAGTGTTAGTTAGTTCTGTATACCATTGTACTGTCCAAATGTGAGGTCAAAAGGATCCTCTGGCATATGTTGACAGACTAATGACTGAAAGTGTATCAGCCCTTGTTATAGCATGAAGTGAAGGTGCTTGTCATGCTAAACTGTTTATTTCCTAATTTTGACTCTGTCTTGCAGTAATGCGGATAAAGTGACCACTAAGAACAACTCTCAGGGTATAAGGTTCCTCTCCCATGTCACAGGTAAAAAACACATTCCCACATTTCATTTGTTGCTGTAGTAGTTTGATGCAAGTTTCACCTACACACTGCGACTGCCTTAGATCAACTTTAATAAATGGCTGTGTGCGTCACATTGATGCAGAGGCCGGGGGTTCCAACCTCCCTTTCGAAAAAGAAAAAAAAACTACACACTGCAAAATTTGCCGCTGTCACCTCGCAATGGCAACTGATCTACCTTCTGCATTGACCAGGCGGCACGGAACCGAATCTCGTGAGCAACAGTACTTCGACAGTTGTACAGAAGCCGATGTCGACCTGGAGCACCCTCTCGGAGAAGCTGAGCTCAGGCAGAAGGTGAGCCGCAGCATGCCCCTGGGTGTGTAGCCTTCACCGCTCCATGGAGCAATTCTTTTCAACCGAACGACCTTGATTTACGTGCAGGCCGGCATCTTCTGGCGCCAAGGTAGGAGCGCCCAAACTGGGCTCGCAGAAGCAGGAACAAGAAGCCAAGAGGAGAAAGGTGAACAACCCTTCGGGGAACACAATCGAGTTGGACCTAGGCAGCTCGGACGACGACGAGATCAACATAGTGCTGCGGCGTTGATGGCTGGGCTAGCTCCATGGTCAAGCGGCTCGCTGCTTTCTTTTCCAGAGGTTGTATATGTAGAATATCAGAAGGAGCACACATGGGAAGATAGGTCAACAGGATTGTGGCCGCCCTTCCACAGTCGAGGCTGATTCCTTCTTTTAAGAATCGGGAATCTGAAATACCAGGGAGAATGTTTTCTGTTGCCTGTATTTCAATCTGGAACGAGATTTTGAGATTCATTCAGCTTTAGTTCGTAGTGCCTTGTGTGACATTGTCAAAAGGCTGACGAACGAACGCTGAGATAGCCAAAGGCTTTAGTTACTACTAGTACATTTCATTTCTGAAAGAGTCATTATTGCTGTATGTACTAAAAGTGTGGCAAACTTCATTACAGTACTAGGCGCGATGCCAAAGCCATAGCAATTCAGCGTGTAACGGTTTTGCTAAAGCACATCTAGATGTGCCCTAAGTATTGTACATATAAATTCTATGCCATTGATTCTACGTGAAGATTCGTGCAAGAATTTTCATTAGTCTTTTTTTTCTAGTTTGATTGAGTCACTTAAATGTGCAATAACTAAAGCACACTTAGATGTGCCCTAGACAGACTTGCGTGTAAAAGGCAGGCAGCAGAGTTGCAGATTTAATTTAGAAATGCGCCCTCACAATGAAAAAGAAGTATTGCAGAAACACTCTAAACTTTGCGACATCTTTACTGAGGATGAGAAACCAACATCAACATAAATGTGCTGTGGCACATCAATGATGGATCATACGATGACACCTAAAGAATGTATGCATGACTTGAATTACTTCGTTTACTTTTTCAGTGTTTGAGGTAATCGAAAAGGTCTGTTTAGGACACATCTAGATGTGACATAATTATATCACATCTAATCTTGTGTTCACTATATTTGTGGTTTATTTTATTTTTGTCATAAATTTAGATGTGACATCCTTAGAAACCGTCTAGATACGAATTAAACAAACTGTAACCGAAATATGTGCGTGACGGCTACTACGAATCAACCGCCGCCTAGCCAGCCGTCTGATGTGGTCCTGGTGGCCGTTGGATCACAACAACACAGCCCCACCCTTACTTCTTCCTCCTCTGATCCCATTCCACCAGAGCAACGCAGCACCCGCTGTGGCACAGGCATCCTGTGACCTCGCGGCACCAGAGCCGTCGATGAGTGCTGCAACGCAACTCCAAGAGCCGTCGGTGACCGCTGCATCACGAGCGGCGCTTCTGGAGCACCGGCGTGCTGCTCCATGGCAACACCAAGCGCAGCAAAAATAATACCAACGCAACACCGACGACGCCTTCGGCGAAACTTCATTCAGCTCCGATGATGCTCCATTGCAACCTCATGCGGCGCTCCATTGCAACTCTGATGACGTGACAAAAGCTCCAACACAACACCAATGGCGAGCAACCCAACTTCTTCCTGCGTGCTGCAACGCATCACCGGCAGCAAGCGGCGCCCGCCTCCGGCCTTCACGCTGCGTTGCAACACCGGCGGCGAGCAACACCGCACCTCGGCCTTTGTGCTGCGTTGTAACACCTGCGGTGGTGCCCGATCACAATGTTGCCTCCCTGGCTCGCCGCAGCTCCCACCGCCCTTGCAGCAGCGTCCACCGGCCAGCCATGGAGGAAGCACATCTCCTCTCCCCACCATAGCTTGGGGAAGGCCAGACCATCGACTTAGGTAGGAGCACTTGGGACACATCCATGGTGGTTACTACAAGAGAGGAGAGGAATTGGAGAAATCATTGGAGGTGCGGTCTGACGGAGGAAAAGGAATCAGAGGGACGGGGATTCAGGGAAGACGATGGGTGGTCGACGGGAAGAGATAAGGTTGTGGAAGAAGGGGCTCAGCGGTGTGTGGGGGCCATGCGAGGCGGTTAATGCACTGGGTGTTATCATCCAGTAGATTTCAAGCATTTCTCTATGTGCATACATGTATAATTAACATGTGCCCTTGCAAAACAGAACAATACCGAAAGAAACGGTCTTACTAAATCTCAGTTGACCGAGACATTTTCGATCTTATATTTACGAGACCTTATATTAAGATTCATGTAAAATTATATTTTTAGGTCTTTCTTTTTTATATGTTATGTCCACTTTAGTGAGAGAATGCCACACCCGAAAACAAAATGCTGATCTATGAAAGCGACTTGATGGTCATCGCAAAATAAATAAATACATAAGAGCAACTTCAATGGGCGACCTATTTCGTTCGCCGCCGTCCATTTGAGTCGGTGCGGACACAAAAGGCGCTCAAACGCGCCGACCCAAACGGATGCGCGTCCGCTTTTCGTCCGTGGGCGACCCATTCCCGGCCCATTTTTGAGCCGGATTTGCATCGGCACGGACACGCGACGGATGCGCGCACGCTCGCCTTCTCCTCTCCCCGGGCCCGCTGGTCAGTGACACATTGACCTTGAAGGAAATATGCCCTAGAGGCAATAATAAAGTTATTATTTATTTCCTTATTCCATGATAAATGTTTATTATTCATGCTAGAATTGTATTAACCGGAAACATAATACATGTGTGAATACATAGACAAACAGAGTGTCACTAGTATGCCTCTACTTGACTAGCTCGTTGATCAAAGATGGTTATGTTTCCTAACCATAGACATGAGTTGTCATTTGATAAACGGGATCACATCATTAGGAGAATGATGTGATTGACTTTACCCATTCCGTTAGCTTAGCACTTGATCGTTTTAGTTTACTGTTATTGCTTTCTTCATGACTTATACATGTTCCTATGACTATGAGATTATGCAACTCTCGATTACCGGAGGAACACTTTGTGTGCTACCAAACGTCACAACGTAACTGAGTGATTATAAAGGTGCTCTACAGGTGTCTCCGATGGTACTTGTTGAGTTGGCATAAATTGAGATTAGGATTTGTCACTTCGATTGTCGGAGAGGTATCTCTGGGCCCTCTCGGTAATGCACATCACTATAAGCCTTGCAAGCAATGCAACTAATGAGTTAGTTGCGGGATGATGCATTACAGAACGAGTAAAGGGACTTGTCGGTAACGAGATTGAGCTAGGTATTGATATACAAACGATCGAATCTCGGGCAAGTAACATACCGATGACAAAGGGAACAACGTATGTTGTTATGCGGTTCGACCGATAAAGATCTACGTAGAATATGTAGGAGCCAATATGAGCATCCATGTTTCGCTATTGGTTATTAACCGGAGACATGTCTCGGTCATGTCTACATAGTTCTCAAAACCCGTAGGGTCCGCACGCTTAACGTTCGGTGATGATCGATAATATGAGTTTATGTGTTTTGATGTACCGAAGGTAGTTCAGAGTCCCGGATGAGATCGGGGACATGACGAGGAGTCTCAAAATGGCCGAGACGTAAATATCGATATATTGGACGACTATATTTGGACATCGGAAAGGTTCCGAGTGATTCGGGTATTTTTTGGAGTACCAGAGAGTTACGGGAATTCACCGGGGAGTATATGGGCCTTATTGCGCTTTAGGGGAAAGAGTGAGGGGAGGCTGCGCCCCCCAAGGCTTAGTCCGAATTGGACTAAGGGAAGGGGCTGCGCCCCCTCCTTCCTTCTCTTTTCTTTTCCCTTTCCTTCTCTCCTACTCCTACTACATGGAAGGGAGGGAATCCTACTCCCGGTGGGAGTAGGACTCCCCAGGGCGCGCCATAGTAGAGGGCCGGCACTCCCCCTCCTCCACTCCTTTATATACGGGGGAGGGGGGCACCCTAGGACACACAAGTTGATTGTTCCAAGCTGTGTGCGGTGCCATCCTCCATCATAATCCACCTCGATCATATCGTAGCGGTGCTTAGGTGAAGCCTTGCATCAGTAGCAACATCATCACCGTCATCACCCCGTCGTGCTGACAGAACTCTCCCCTGAAGCTCTGCTGGATCGGAGTTCGTGGAACGTCATCGAGCTGAACGTGTGCTGAACTCGGAGGTACCGTGCGTTCGGTACTTGGATCGGTCGTATCGTGAAGACGTTCGACTACATCAACCACGTTCTCATAATGCGTCCGCTTACGGTCTACGAGGGTACGTGGACGATACTCTTCCCTCTCGTTGCGGTGCATCACCATGATCTTGCGTGTGCGTATGATTTTTTTTTGAAATTACTATGTTCCCCAATAGTGGTATCGGAGCCAGGTTTATGCGTAGATGTTATATGCACGAGTAGAACAAGTGAGTTGTGGGTGATACAAATCATACTGCTTACCAGCATGTCATACTTTGATTCGGCAATATTGTTGGATGAAGCGGCCCGGACTGACATTACGCGTACGCTTACGCGAGACTGGTTCTACCGACGTGCTTCGCACACAGGTGGCTAGCGGGTGTCAGTTTCTCCAACTTTAGTTGAACCGAGTGTGACTACGCCCGGTCCTTGTTGAAGGTTAAAACAACACTAACTTGATGAAATATCATTGTGGTTTTGATGCATAGGTAAGAATGGTTCTTGCTCAGCCCGTAACAGCCACGTAAAACTTGCAACAACAAAGTAGAGGACATTTAACTTGTTTTTGCAGGGCATGTTGTGACGTGATATGGTCAACACGTGATAAGATATAAGTTGTTGTATAAGATGATCATGTTTTGTTGAAGTTATCGGCAACTGGCAGAAGCCTTATTGTCGTGGAATTGTCACGGCAGATGTCCTTAGTGTCAGGACTTAGTCGCGAGGCCAACACATCTATGTGGTAGCTTGAGAGGGGTTGAGCGGGACGAGAGACGCGATGTTTTACCCAGGTTCGGCCCCTCACGGTGGAGGTAAAAGCCTACATCCTGCTTCATTGATATTGATGATGATGATCACCGTTACAAGAGTGCTCTATCTCGAGAGCTATTGTCTAAACCTAACTTGTCCAACTTGTGGAACTTGTGAATCTTGTCCTCCCCTTTTGGGGAGCCCTGCCCCTCCTTATATATGTTGGAGGGGCGGGTTACATGTAGAGTCCTATTAGGATTAGGACTAGTCTATCTCTAATACAAACCGGATATAAGTCCAGGTCTTAACTCCTTATAGGACAAATATTCCTCATGCCTTTCCTCTTAAACCGGCCCACCGTTAAACGTGAACCGGCCTTCTGGGCCTTGGGCCTTGTCATCCGTCTGTCCCGCACGCCGGATCACCAGTGAGTCATAATGATCAGGTGGGTTACTGGTAAACCGCCAGGTCAGGGCGGGTCGCCAGTAACTCGCCAAGTGTCAGCGGGGTCTTCAGATAAACCGCCAAGTCCGGCCGGGTTAACTTCCGGCCGGTTTACACCGCGGGGTATATCCCCGACATTAGCCCCCAAGTTTAGCTTGGATTTATTCATGGTAAACTTATACTGCAAAATAAACACAAGAACAAATTTGACAGGTTATGCTCCGGGTTAAGAATTTTTGTAAACCGGTACCTGATCATCCTTAAGTCCTTGTTATTTCCTCCTTCTGGGAAATAAGGGTCAACAGACCAGCTTCATAATCAATTTACCGACATTGGTTTGTCACCGAGAAATATTGTGAAGAATAACTCCTTTGACTCAGCTCCCAAAGCGCCGGTTTAAGAAATATGGGTCTGAAAATACTTATCTGATATTCAGCCGGTTTGAAGATGTAAAACTTGCCGGTTTAATATTAACAAAATAGCCGGTTTATAAATATTGATGGTGCCGGGTCATAATTGTTGTCGACAGCGGGTCATGTAATTGATCTTCCTGATTTGCTCAAAACTGATAAAATGAAGATGTTCCTCCTTTATATGCACAATACCTGTAGCCCCCAAGTCTTAAGAGGAGAACATAGTGATAACTTAAGACTTGCTCCAATAAGTGTTTCAACCTTGAAGAAATCCAGTTTGTTCATCTCAATTATATAAACTGAATACTCCATATATGTAGCCCCCAAGTGCCGGGTTGTCATGCTTGCAGCAACCTGGGACTTGTAATTACTTATAGAAACTTCAATCAGTGTAGCCCCCAAGGGCCGGTTCAGTAAGATAATATTGAGCTGGGACTTTATATATACTTCATTGAAAATAACATCATATGATGTAACTCCCATCATGGGGCTTGAACCCACATCCACAAGGTTAAGAGCTTTGTGCTTTACCAATTGAGGAGTGGACCCTTCAATATAATGGATAAAAACTTGTGTACCTTGAATTGTTGACAGGAGCAATTGGTAGCCTCCAAGGGCCGGCTCATTACAATGTGATGAGTCAGGTCTTCAATAAAGTGAGCAAAAAATGACTTTGCATTAGCCCCCAAGTGTCATGGTGCATGCTTGCAGCGACATGAGACTTGCATATTTGATGAAATCTCAACGTGAATAATGTAGCCCCCAAGTGTCGAGTCGTAAGCCTGCAGCGACTCGGGACTATTCCTTCAATTGTAGAATAAATCATATCCATTGATAATATAATAGCCATTGCGCTAAAGCGACTTTGAAAACCTTAATCATAAAACTGGTTACTGATAACCATAATAAAATCCAGCCATGTTGGCTATTTAAAGATTTGAATAATATAATTCAATGATTTATGAGCACATGATTCCAATGACGCAATCCAAATATATACTGGCGACTTATAGTCAAAAACCAGGCCGGTTTAATAAACACCGGATAATTTATCATCATATACTGACGACTTATTGTCTTAAAGCCAGGCCGGTTTAACAAACCTGTTTCTGCATACATCAAGTTTA